TGTTTAGAAATTTTAGTACATACGATAGAATAACAAATTAATCATTGCTAATATTATATTTAGATAACAATATACATGGAAACTTGATATATTAAGAAATATATTTTAATTTAGTGGAATACAGATTTTTTTGTCAAATGGCAGTTATAAAGTAACTATCAATTTTGAATGAAAAACCAATTTAAATAGAATAAAATGTAAACACATAAATAAAATAAATATGTTTTAAAATAATTTGGAAGAAATTTGAGAAGAATATCAAAGATGCTTTACCTGTTTAATAGCAAGAATATCTAAATTAGAGCAATAAAATTGTATCACTTTATGCACTTGATATTGGGAAAATTACATCAAGTGATAATACCTGCTGTTCACAACAATGTAGTATTCTCAAACCTGGTGGAAACATAAATTGTTACAGATGAATTGAAAAATAAACAGATCTTTGTCCTAAGCAATATGATATCTGAGATCATATAAAATAAAACACAAATATAGTTCTTTCTTTTATAAGCATGTCTGTTGCAATATTTTTCTTTTAAAAAGAGAAGAGAAACAAGTCATCCCCTGCCAAAAAATAAGTGAATTAATATTGCTATACCCATGGGATTGTATGTATACTGTGACGTGTTTACTTAAATATATTATTATCTAATATTAAAAATAAAGGGATAATTTTCATAATAAGTGAAAAAACATGAAGCTAGGGTTAAGTTTTTAAGAGGGACTGAGGTTTTTGTCTTGGGAAGATTTAGAAGGCATATTTGATCTCCTCAGCTCACTTTATTGTTTGTTCTTTTGCCATATGACGTCTCTCATTATGTGCTATCTGTCATGAGACTCTAATTAGAAGCCAATACAAGGACTATACTCTTGGACATCTTTCCATTGTAAATCTCTTTCCTCTGTAAAGTACCCAGCACTGAGACAGAAACTTTGGCTCTACACTCTCAACACCTAGGATTGGGCCATCCATTTAGAGAAAGGTCAGTTATACATAATAAATTTAATGTCTAATCTCAAAATTCATTTGCAGGAAAAAAGAATTTGCTTTACAAGCATTACGTATTGAGCTAACTATTGCTTTTCTTTTTAAATCATTAAATGACTAAGATAAAATAAAGACCCTCATATATGAGAATTATAAATAACATATTTGTATTGTGATACATACTTTCCTCAATATTAATTTAAATGTGAGAAAGTTTGTCTCTATAAAGAATAAGTCAATTTAGATTTAACATATTAACTTGGGAAGACATCAGATCAAATTTACTAGGTTCATTAAGTTTAGTGAATTTAATTTCAGAAATCTAAATTTCTAGTTATAGGTTTCAAGAATAATATTAAGCAGCCTATCAAATATGTCCTTATTTATCACACATATTGACATTATAGGTAAGAATAAGCAACTCTTCTTAAGTAGTTTTACTTGTAGATTTATCATGTGATTATAATCTAAAATTTTTAAAAGTAGTACACCACTGAGTATGAATCTTCAACATTATAGAATTCTCAGTCTATCATTGAGTAGTCTATTACAATTTCTAAATCATCAGTGTGTATTGATTGGTTAGATCTTGACTGGTTACAACAAAGATACAAACATTTTCATATAAGAATATACAGTATTTTGGAAAGTTTTCTTTAGTTGTCTGGATTTTGTGCCAGAGGCAATTGATACAGATATTATTGTTCTTTATGTTATAATTTCTAGGTACATTTTCATGCACGATGAAGTAACTCAAAGAGAATAGTAAAGTAACATGCAAGTGAGAATTTCATATAAAATATAGAGACATGGGTAACAAGTTATAAAGGCACTATCATCTGTTAGAATAACTAAAAGACACCAATAGATAAAAGGATTCTGCCTTAGTTATTTTCTCATCACTCAAACACAATACCTCACACCCAGGACTCAAAAGAGGAAAGGTTTATTTTGAATTACAGTTTAGAGCTCTCAGTCCATAGCTGGCTGGTTTCATCACAGGGTAGCATGGCAGAGGTGAAAGACAGAGGAGGGAAGACAGAGGGGGAAGGCAGAGAGAGGGATCAAAGGAGGAAAGGAGGTGGACCCTCCCACACCACATCCCCAGCGGCCCACCTGCTCGAAGCAGGCTTCATCTCCAAATCATATCTAGCTGTAAACTCCTCAGTGGGCTAGTCCACTGGAAAGAATCACGCCATCATGATCCAAATACACAAGCACATGAGACTTTGCAGGGACAGCCATACAGATCATAACAGACTCTACCACAAGAATCTAATTTTCAGCTTTTTCAATTGACATTTCCTTTATGAGGAGTTATTGACTAGATTGTGGAATGATAAGTCTTATGTGATATCCTCAGCTTCCATAAATAGCAGAAGTTTTTATTTTTCTCAGCTATTATATTCTTTTTATTCTTTCCTTGATTAGCCATTGCCATTATGTAAAATAGTTAAGATAAACCACCTAATAAATATGGATTTTAAAAATTTATAATGACTAAGTCAATGTAAGTCAAATAACAATCAGTCTGAAGAAAATATAATTTTTAAAACAGCAACTAATTTCTTATATATGTGTCCAATAATAATTTAAAACTGCTAAGTGAAATTGTACCTCAAAATAACAAGCAATACACTAATCGTGGGTGTTTTCAGGTACCTGCCTGCACTCTTATCCAGGATTTTGTGCCTTAAGAGGGAATCTGCTAATTATTTTTTCATCATTCGCTATTTAGATAAAAGCCATAAAATACAGTGGAGTAAACTGATGTAAAAATTCTAAGAAATGAACTGCATGTGAATGAAATAGAATGACAAATCCTTTCAGAATTGAATTGATAAAGTTGAATGGCAATATTTTACAGTACCTTCTTTTGAATTTCCTGTGTAGTAATTACTCTTTTTTGACATGTGATTAAACATTGTTAGATTTGGGGGGGGTACTAGGGATTGAACTCGGGTCCTTGTCCTTGCAAGGCAGGCCACTGAACCACTGAGCTAAATCCCTGGCCACATTGGCAGATTTTGAAGGCAAATAACTAATGAATAAGTGAAGAATGCTCAATTTCAGTGTAAGTGTAGATTGTGAATGTGCAGCCTTGTCTTTTCTTCCCATTTTGATAGATGTCCAAGACTGCAGTGAGACTGGCCATCTGAAACCCTTGGTAGTTACAAAGGAGTGTGTGTGTGTGTGTGTGTGTGTGTGTGTTTGTGTGTGTGTGTAAGAGGGGATTGGGGTTATGTGCATTGTGGTTTCCTTATAGAATAATATCTTTATATTTTATTCAGTGAAAATTTTGTGTAATAGGAGAAAAATAAAATGCTTAAATATGTATCCATGTTACCTGTTCCTTGCAGTTAATAGAGGGAATTCTAGACAGTGCCTGGTATCTGATTTTTGTCTTAACATGTGCCCTCTTTTGAAACACTTATATACACAGTCTCTATTGAAACTCTAAAACTACGTCCAGTTTTTTAAGAAAAAAAAAAGACTGAAGAAATCACAATACTGGTCAAAGACCTAAGTTTAGATTAAAGGTTCATTATTTAATTGTGTGAATTCAGATCTATCACTTCTGCCCCCTGTTCAGTTATCTGAATAAGATTTAATCATTATTCTCTTCAGCCTTGTAATGTTTAGTGGAACAGGATATAGTAAGGAATTACTAATAAAACTATCATATTTGTCCTTTAAAAATAAAGATTTTTTTCTTTATACTTGGGAAGTTTTCTGCCATTACTTCTATGAACAGTTTTTCTTTATGTCATTTGCACTCTCTCCTGTTTCTTCATTTGACGACTTTGATCAGACCCCACCCCCTGTGGTACCAGGGATTGAAGTCAGGACCTTGCTCTTGTGAGACAGGCATGGTGCCACTGAGCTAAATCCCTGGTGCTATGATCAGTCTTATAATATACTTCTTTCTCTTGGATTCATTTGTCATGGCCCCATACTAGTTTTAAAATTTTTTTTCTTTTCCTGGTCACTAATTGCAATCCTAGCTTCTATACCTGAAATTCTATCCTTGCATTGGCTCATTCTGGTGCATAAACTTTCAGTGGAGTTTTTAATCTCCTGGGAATCTGTTTGCATTTGTTTTATGGATCTCATTTGTTTCCTATGTTGGGTTCCATCATGTTCCTCAGCTCCTCTATTTTTTCATGTGTGTCTGCTCTGGATGTATTAATCATGTCTTGCACTATGGGCCCAATCTATGCTGTTATCTGAGAAATTATTTCTGATTTTATATTTTCCACGTCCTCTTTCGCTGCCATTTGGGGGAATCCAGGTGATTGAATATCAGATTATTGTCTCTCATTTCCCTTTGGCATTGCCTTAGGCTATTTGGAAGTCTGGCTTGGGGACTTGTTTCCATGTCTTTTCATTTCAACAGATGCAGCCTACTGTACCTTTATTGAGATAACTTTTTGCTTACCCAGTGGTGTCCAATTCTCAGCAGGCCACTGAAAAGCCTTTTCTTTGCTGCTCACCAGTACACCAACTTCTGGCTTCTGAATGGTGGCCTTCTGGATCCCGGAGCTCACCTATTGTCTGGGTAGGCTTCTGGCTGGGACAAGAACACACTTGAGATGGTATCTAGGTGTGCCTCTTGCTGGGGCCTCTATGTACCTTTTGTCTGAGAGGGCCTTTGTCTTGGGCTGTGATCTCCAGTTCCTGTTGTCTGAGCAGGCTTCTGGCTAGGATCTACACCAGAGAGTAGAGGGGTGAGCCTCTGACTAAAGCTTGTGTGCCTGTGTAACTCTTTTTCAGGAGACCCCTTGGGTGGGCAAGATTTCCCAAGCCTCTGGCTGGTATCCGCCTGCAGCCAGGCTTATCGGAACCACTTGGCTGCACCCGAGGATCTGTATGCACTCACGAATGCTACGAAGTGAGCCTCTGGCTGAAGTTTGTATGCCTTTGCAGCTCTTTCCTGGGTAGGCCTAAAACCTTATTGGATGATGTAAATGTTTAGAATTTTGATGTTCCATGTTGTTTTTCTGTTCAAATAAAACAGTGGATAGATGCCATGAAGTAGGTGGCAATGCCTTAACCATATGTATGTTATCAGGCCCAAGGGCCTCTTCTCTTCCATCCTTGTTAAGGGGAATGCAAACCTTCTCCTCTTTCATACAATGCTGTTAAAGAATTTTTACATCTGTGTTAATCAGTAATATTGGGCTTATAGTGTGTGTGTGTGTGTGTGTGTGTGTGTTCTCATCTGATTTTGATATTAGGGTAATGCTGGCCTCAGAATGATGGTTTACTTCTCTCTCAGTACTGTGGAATATTTGAGGAAAATAGGTGCAAGTTCTTAAATTTAGCATGAAATCCACTTAGGATTTACCTTGATAAGAAGATATTTCATTGTTGAGTGAAATTTATTAATTACCATTTGAACTTGTCTATTCAAGTTCATTTCTTCATGATTCAGTCTTTTTAAAGTGTGAAGGAATTTGTTCATTTCCTCTAAGTTATCAAATTGTTGGTATATAAATGCTCATAATAGTGTCTAATGATCCTTTGCAAGTCAGTGATGTCAGCATATCTTTTTGTCTATGATTTTATTTATTTGAATATTCTTTTTATTCATTAGTCTAGCTAATGATTTGTCAGTTTTTTATCTTTTTGAAAAATCAAATTTTTGTTTTATTGATATTGGTGATTTGTCTATATATTTTAGATTTCCCTTTTATAGGTAATTAGTTGCTTTTCTCTAACAGCTTTCAAGATTCTATTATTATATTAGATTTCTGTTATTTTAATTGTTATATGATATGAAATTTTTTCTGATCATAGCATTGATTTTTCTGATCATGCCTCACTTATCTGCATGTTAAATTCTTTTTCTGTCTGAAAAGTTCTCCGCTATTATTGCTCTACCAGGGTATTTATACTCTTTGTGCTGTCTTCCCATTGTTCATTAATTCCAGTTACTCAAAAATTACTCTTCTTCAAATCAACTATCAGCTACTGGATCTATTTTTCATGTTTTCCTGCTGTTATTAAGTTATCTATGGTTAAATGATTGCTAGCCACAGCCCTGTCTTCTAGATCTGACACTCTGTCCTCACAGTCTCTTCTGCTGCCAAGATTATCAGCTGTATTCTTAATCTCCTGGATTTTTATTTAGAACTTTTTAATGGAATCCTATTATTTTCTGCCTGGACATTCATGTTTTGCACTTCTTTCTTTAGCTCCAGTGGAATTGTGTTAGTGCCTTCTATAGAATCACAGATCATTTGTTTTATTTAGATAATTATCTAAATAATTTACTTATATCTTCTGTGAATTTTCCAGACACCTTAGCGAACTGTTTTGTAACCTCTATTGATACAGTTTAAGATTTTTTTTTCTTGACTTACAGTTTTCCCCAGCTCAATGCTCCCTGATCTATCCTTTGAAAAGTTAGCAGTTTTTGGAAGGATCCATTGCTTTGATTATATTTGTATATTTTTTGTTGTTTTTTTTTTTGTTTTTTTTTTGTGCTGGGATTAGCAGTTTCCTTGGCCCAGTGCCTTTTTTTTCAGGAATGAACTTCAGTATTGTTTATGACTGCCAGAAAATCCAGATATTGGTATACAGAAAAAAATCAATTGATAGCACCAACTGTGTTACCTTGGATAGAGTAGTAAATTTGGTGACAACAATGGAACCAAATATGAACTGGATCCTAACAAACTCTAAGAACTGCTCAGGAACCACCCTGAATCATTGCAAAAAGGTTTATGATTTCAGTGTAGACACAAGCAACCTAGGTATTGACATGCAGGCACTTTTTTCTATTGGATGTAGTCAGAAGTTGAAAATTTCAAGAAGATCGACTAAATTCTATCTCTTTCAGATCCAGCCCTTCTGAAGGTCACACCCACCAAATCCAGCCACCCGCCACAGAATATTGGCCCTGTGATCTTCCTGGGCAGATCTTGAGCTTCGCTGAGAATCTCAAGATATCTATGTCTAGCTCTCATTCTCTCCAAGTCTGTCTCTCAAGGCTATCTCTCACCCAGTTTTGCAGTAGGGTAACACTTCAATTCCTTTTTTTTTTTCTTTTATTGAGTTTATTGGTACATTTTCGGTATACAATACAATTACATTCATTATTGGGATCTTGTACCTTTACATAACAGTTCTTGGTTCTAATTTTTTCCCCTTGTCTGCGCCTTCCCTTCACCCACTCCTCCCCTCCCCACTTATAAACACTTTATTTACGTTTTTTCATTTTGTCATATTTTTCCCTTATTACCTTTCCCCTACCCTTCCCACTTTTCCTACACCTTTAGCCCTTTTCTTCCCATTTCACATGGTCAATTATCTCATTAGGATCTTATGTACTATTATAGCTTTTCAAACCAGAGAAACTATTCCGTATTTACACATGTGTGACTTATTTATTTCACTTAGGAGTATATCCTCAATATGTATCCATTTTCCTATGAATGAATCTAATTTCTCATTCTTTATGGCTGAGTAGTATTCCATTTTATAGAAAAACCACATCTTCTTTATCCAGTTTCCAAATGATGGGCAAATGGGCTGTTTCCAAATTTTAGCTATTACAAACTGTGCCGCTATAAACATTGGTGTGTATATATCCCTGTGGTATGATTCTTTTGATTCTTTTGGAAAGATACCCAGCAGAGTGGTGGCAGCGTCAAATGGAACCTCTAGTCCCAGCTCTTTGAGGTATCTCCATATTGATTTCCATAGTGGTCGCACCAGTCTGCACTCCCACCAACAATGGAGAAGGGTTCCTTTCTCCCCACAACCCTGCCAACATTTGTTATTGATTGATTTCTTGATAGCAGCCATTCTTTGTGGGTTGAGGTGAAATCTCAGTGTTGTTTTCATCTGCATCTCTTGAATGACCAATGATGTGGAACAGTTTTTCATATATTTACTTGCTGCTTTTACTTCTTTGTCTGAGAAATGTCTATTCATTTCACATGCCAATTTTTTAATTGGGTCTTTATATTTGAGGGGGGCTGGTTGTTTTGAGTTCCTTATATATTCTAGATCATAGTCCTTTGTATGAGGAGCAGCTGGTAAAATTTCTTTCCCACATTATAGGTTGTCTCTTAATTCTGTTGATGGTTTCTTTTGCAGTGCAGAAGCTTTTTTTAAAGGTGAGATTCCAGTTGTTGATTCTTTCTGCTAGTTCCTGTGCTACTGAGGATTTGTTCATAAAGTATTTTCCTATGCCAATGTTTTCAAGAGTTCTGCCTAACTTATCTTCCAGCAAGTTTAGTGTTTCTGTTTTGATATTTAGATATTTAATCCACTTGGATTTTAATTTAATGCATGGTGAAAGATAAGGGTGTAGTTTTAATCTTTGGCGAGTTGAGATCCAGTTTTTCCAACACCATTTAGTGGAGTAGTTGGATACAAGGTCAACACCCAAAAATCAATAGCCTTCTTGTACACAAATAAACTCACTGAGAGAGAAATTAGGGAAACAATTCCTTTCACAATAGCATCCAAAAAAAAAAATGAAGTATCTAGGAATCAATCTAACAAAGGAAGCAAGAGACCTCTACACTGAAAACTACAGCACTCTGAAAAAAGAGATCGAAGAGGCTATAAGAAAATGGAAAGATCTCCCCTGCTCCTGGGTAGGAAGAATCAACATAGTGGAAATGGCCATACTACCAAAACTGCTACACAGATTCAATGCAATGCCAATTGAAATTACAACACTATATTTCACAGAACTAGGAAAAATAATGCAAAAATTCATTTGGAGCCAAAGAGACCTAGAATAGCAAAAGTCATCCTAGGCAACAGACATACAGCAGTAGGTATAACAATTCCCAATTTGAAACTATACTACAAAACCACTGTGATAAAAACAGCATGGTACTGGCAATGAAACAGACCTGAGGATCAGTGCAACAGATTGGAAGACACAAAAACAGCTCCAGATGTACTCAGCTACCTCATCTTTGACAAAGGAGCTGATCTTCCCCACTGGAGGAAAGATGGCCTCTGTAACACTTTAATTGTAAAGCAAAATTCTCCTCCTGGGTGCTACTTTCATCCTCAGTTATGTCAGTCTTTTGGCTGTCACCTCTGCTGCCCTGTACTGTGGGGTGTGGAAGGCACCAATGACTCCAGCAGCAATCAGGGCTTCTGTCTTCTCCCAGGGGGCCCACAAGGTGGCAGTGTTGGTGAGGGGCAGATTGGGCCTCTCTCTTCTGTAGGATACATAAGGCTCAATTGTGGGAGATGTGAGGTGCCTCTCTTCACACCCACAGAGGCCAGTTCTGGTGTCCATGATGGCAAAGGACAAGGTTTCCTTCCTCTTCCATAGGGTACACCAGGCTCCATCATTGACCAGGGAGCAGTGGATGGGACAGGGATGTGGGGTGGGGTCATTCTTCTCACCTGCAGGACTCATGAGGATCCAGTGTTGGCTGGAGGGGTACAGTGGGGCTACTCACTTAAGGTAACTTTTGATAGGTATGGTTTTACTGTTGCATTTTTAAAACTACTTCACTGGTTCTTTTGTTCCTCTCTTTCTACCTCCTTTAATAATCTTCTTTTGTGCTTAGGTGGTTTATTCTATTCTGTGTTTGAATTCCTTGCTCATTATTTTTGATGTATCATTTAAGGAATTTTGCTTTGTGGTTACTGTGAAAGTTACAAAAGCATAATTTGATTATAACAAGCTATTTTAATTGATAACAACTTAACTGTGATTGTAAAGAGAAACAAGAAAATTATACTAATTTAAGAATATTTCAACACCATCCTTCCCCTATTTTAAATTTTGATGTCCCATTTTAAAACTTTTTATATTTATTATATATTAACATTGTTATTTGTAATTGTTTTTGTTTGTTTGCTTGTTTGTTTGTTTATTTGTTTTTTGGTCCCAGGGATCAAAGCAAGGCAGGAGGCAGAACCACTGAGCTAAATCCCCAGCCCTATTTGTAATTGTTTTGCTTTTAGTGTTCATACTAAAGATATGAATGGCTTATATGTACGTGATGTTAAAAATATTGGAGTTTTCTGTATAGTTACTGTTGTCAGTGATTTTGTCTTCCACTATTCTCTTCTTTTTTTCTTAATGTGTCTTTATTTCAGATTGAAGAACTTCCTTGAGCATTGCCTATAAGATAATTCTGGAAGTTATACCT